TGGATTATATTTAGCTGTAAAATGGAGCGCAACGACTAACAGCACGAAGGAGTGCGCAAATATTGGGCAAATGCCCCTAGGCAAAATACTAAGGGTAATATCTGGGCAGTGTTCCGTGACGTAATTTCAAAAGCGAAATCTTCCAAAATGAATTTGGACATAAGGGGGCTTCTAACATATTGTAGTGTTGTAGGGTATCATATGGTCGGCCCCGCACCACTATAGCCTTTGCTTACTTGTTTTTTTTTTTTTTTTTTTTTTTTTTCATTTTATATATTTATATTTTTTTCTTCCTTATATTTCCATTTTTTTTACCGTGAATTTTCACTTTTACATTCCATTTTTATTTGATGTATTTTTCTCTAAATATTTTATTTAACCAGAAAATGTTAATAAAGACAGAATTTTCATTTTCGATTTTTTTGTCACAGAAAAATACCAGCAGCAGCTTAGTTCGTTTGCCTTTGATGTGATTATTTGCCTGGTAATGCAATGTGACGATGATGCTGATGACAATCTTCAATCTTATTGGCTGTCTGTGTGTGCGTGTGTGTCACCTACATATTTTACATACACTGATTATTATGCAATATTGTTCGTTCAATAATCTGCAGAAAGATTCCAGTGACATTTTTCACACAACCTCTCTCTCACTCACACACACACACACACACACTTGCCCACATATCAAAATTGGTGTCACCAAGCCCACGATGATTGACGATGATCTGAAAGTACATAATGTTCTCTGTTATACCAGCAGTTATCCAGTCACTTGTAAATTATTGTTAGAACAGCCCTTAATGTATCCCTCATCACCAGTAAACCAATCATCCATCCACATCATCGGCCTCAAGTCGTTGCCATCGTCATCGCCGTCATTGGGTAATTGTGGCACAAATCAAGATTTCCTTCACATCGAATATTAAATGTGACAGGGCAAAATTGTGATACTTGTCAGTCGTAGTTGTAATAATTCATTTTTTAGGATACGAGTGTTGGGGGGGGGAGGCTTTTGAATAGCTGATATCATGGAAAAATCAAGGGGGTAATAAGAGGGGTCTAAGCTATGCTTAATTTTCAATAAATTTTCAATAAAATTTTAAACAAAAAATATGCTTTGTTGGACTTCGCTGACACCCTTTAATAAAGAATATTCACGATTGATTGATACGGCCTCACAGAAATAGTGGTTTTAGACCCTAGATCTCTTTGGACTTAATCCATATCAGGACATTTGGAGTCGATCTAGCGATGTCCGTCTGTCCGTCCGTCTCTTTGGATTTAATTCGTTTCAGGACGTTTGGAGTCGACCTAGCGATTTCCGTCCGTCCTTCCGCCTTACTGGCTGGTGCTAAAGATAACTATTCGATTTGGCCCAAACTTGGTGCATCATAATATTTATTATCAAACTTAGATCAAATTAGAAGATGGGTAATGTCGGTTCACTCCTTCTGGTACTTTACACACAAGTCAAAATTTTCTTTAAAAAATACTTCTGCACCGAAAGAGAAAGGATTATTCGATTTTTCTCCAACTTTGCAAATCCTAATATTTGCATCAATGCTAGGTCAGGTAAGAAAATTGACAATATCGATCCACTACCTCCCCCACAAAGGGTCAACATTTTGAATAATTATAGATCTTAAAATGTGATGTTAGAGCCCGATTGTCTTCACAATATTTTATTAACTCAAGGTGTGGTTGTGAAGGTGTGGTGTGAAAATGGTCCACTCCTTCTGATACCTCCCCCACAAAGGGTTAACATTTTAAATATCCATGAAGGCCATAAAACACGAATTTAACATCCGATTCCATTCAGACTTGGCACATCTCAATATTTCCATCAACACAAGATCTATTATAAATATGATAAAGATCGGACCATTTCTTCTGGTACCTCCCCCACAAATGGTCGAAGTCTTAAATAACCAAAACAATTATAAAATCCGAAATAAGCATCCGGTTCTCTTCATATTTCACACATCTCATCATTTCTACTAACACAAGATCTGATGTATGGATGGGATATATCGGTCCACACCTTCTGGTACCTCCCCCAGAAAGGGTCAAAATTTTGAATATCCATCCATGAAGCTAATAAATCGCGAAATTAACATCAGATTCCATTTAAACTTGGCTCATCTCAATGTTTCTATCAACACAGAATCAGTTATACTGATGGTACATATCAGACCATTCCTTCTGGTACCTCCACCACAAAGGCTCATAGTTTTGCAAAATAAAACGCTCAAAGAAACCGAAATAATCATCCAACTCTCTTAAAATTTCACATATACAAACATGATCTGTTGTGAAGATGATATATATCTGCGGGCCCCTTTTGGTACCTCACTCACAAAGGGTCACAATTTTCAATATTTTTATCTGTGATAACTTGGGAAACATGTCAGCGATTCTTTACAACTTGATATATCAAAATAGTTCCAGAACCAGAAACCTAAGATGAATATTGAATTTATGATTTCGCATAAAATTGGATATAAGTGTTCGATTTTTTTGTAATTTTCCGCATACCAATATTAGATGAAGTAAATCTTGTATTTCAATCACATATTAACATTTTCTAAAAATTATCAAATATCTCATATAAGTATATAATCCAAACCTGGCACGTCACATTATTTATATCATATAATTTTGGGTTTAATACGAAATTGACAACATTGGCCCATTTCTTCGGAACCTACTCCATCGAGGGTCAAATATTTATTACAAAAAAAAATCCATATTATGGCTCCGATTGCCCTTTAAAAATCCTTGATGGTCCTTGAAATAAATATTTTAAGTTTTGCCTTATTAAGGCGAAGATCATATGTTTTATGATTTAAGTGTTTGTTTTCTCTTTCGAGACGAGCTTAATGATCTGAAATTTGCAGTGAAAAGGAAAGCCAGATAGACACTATCACACACTCACCACTATGCGACGCGTTTCGCCGTTGGTTAAGCGGCTCATCAGGCATATTTGATGTGGATGATGGCTTACAAGGGCCGTTCTCTGCAAAGTAGTATATATTTCGAACTTATTGCAAATTAGCATATGCGAATTATACACTAGAAACTCTCCAGGTTCGACTCAAGTTCTATTGGCAGATCTTTTTCACAGCAACGTTTTTGTTTTTGTAGTGATGGATTTTTTTGTCCACAACAACTACATTGCTTCCAATGCATACACTTGTTTTAGTGCTGCTTTAGGAAGACGGGTTAATGGCTCTGAACGTAGAGACGGCAACTTCTAGTTGGCTGCACACAGAGGTCCGCGGTTCAAATCCCACAGCCAGGCTCGGCTGAATTTTTGAGTTTTGCCTTATTAAGGCGAAGATCATATGTTTTATGATTTAAACAAAAACGTTGCTGTGAAAAAGATCTGCCAATAGAACTTGAGTCGAACCTGGAGAGTTTCTAGTGTATAATTCGCATATGCTAATTTGCAATAAGTTCGAAATATATACTACTTTGCAGAGAACGGCCCTTGTAAGCCATCATCCACATCAAATATGCCTGATGAGCCGCTTAACCAACGGCGAAACGCGTCGCATAGTGGTGAGTGTGTGATAGTGTCTATCTGGCTTTCCTTTTCACTGCAAATTTCAGATCATTAAGCTCGTCTCGAAAGAGAAAATAAATATTTTAAATTTGTTCGATTTTAGCTTTTAATAGCCTGGGAAAATGTTCCCACAAATCAACAATTATCGCTTTGAAGGTTCCTGAAAATATTTCTTAAAATGCCAAGCTAATCGCTCCGATGGTCCATCCTTCATCCTATCAAAAATCCACTTTTTTCTTTAAAGGAGTTTTGATGAAGTAATGAGTGCCTCGATGCCGAAAAAAAATTTCAGAAAATCGATTTTCATGGCTCTAATGATCCTTTAAAAATATTATTTTATCCTTGAACAAAATTTCTTTAAAAACTCTACATTTACGGCTTTGACTGACGGGTCCCTAAAAATCCTTGATGATCCTTTTTAAACCATCTTTTAACTTATAATAATTGGCTCTGATGGTCCCTAAAAAAATTAATTACAAAAATCCACGTTATGGCTCTAATTGTCTTTTAAAAATCCTTGAGGGTCCTTAAAATGTATATATTTAAAAAAAAATGATATTCTTCGAAATAAAATATTTTTCTAAAGGAACTCGAAAATTATTTCATAAAATAACAAGCTAATGGCTCCGATAGTCTTTGACAAATTATTCTTTAAAACCCCCATTTGTATGGCACATTTTATTTTCTGATGATGCTTGAATAATATTCTTTAAAGAATCATCAATCCTCGAAAATTTAGGAGCCATCCTACGTTTTCGATAAATATTCTTCTGATGGTCCTTTTTTAAAAAATCCACATTTAATGTCTGCCTTTTCATTTAAAAAAAAAAAAACATATTCTTTAAAAAGTAATTAATATATCTAATATCCTTCAGACAATATTCTTAAAAATATTCATTAAAAAGTCTCTTCCTTTTAAAAATGACGTCTTTGAAAAAATATTTTTGGAAAAATTCGCGGATATTGATCTAATGATCCTTTAGTTAAAAATCTTTCACTAAAATTACGTTTCCTGTTTTAATAATCTATATACTCTTCTTTAAGATGCTGGAATATTGAAATCTTGATGGTCCTTGAAAATTACGTGTGTTGATGAGCTCCGATAGTTTTCGATAAATACTCTTAAATAATTCTCCAGCGAAAATCATTTTTTTTAAAATCCACATTTCGGGTTTTGCCTGCCTTATGGCCATTCTAAACATATACCTTAAATGGTTTAAAGACGGAGATCGGAGTCCGAATACTTAAAAATCGATATCCTTTTCTTAAGGATACGACGTTGTTTTATTAATCAGCTCTCCTTAAATATTAATATTTATACACTTTTTCCTTTTGCAACTTTTCTCTCTCTCTCTTCCTCTCTCTCTCTCTGAAAATATTTTCTAATTGCATAATTAAAATTGTTCTCTCTTTCTCCTCCTTTTTTTTGCAGAACACATCACCCTTGTGGGAGGATTTTGTTGCCAAGGCCAGTAAATTACACGCTTGTTTAAAGTAAGTACTTGACTTTTTCTATTTTTGTTTTTACTTTTATCTTCTTTGCTTGTCCACCTTTTTCGATTATAATGCAAATGTTAATTGGATGATCATTAATTAATTAATAAATGAAATATAATTTGTTAATTGCCCCATGAGATTGTAGCTATGAAGTCGTAGACAGGTGAATATTTTCTTTTGAAATTGCTTTTAATGTCAAGACAATGGGGAGACATTAATTATGCCAGGTAAATGCTTAATACTCGAGACAGACGAGAAAATTATCAAGTCATGAAATAGATACTTCCCACGAGGTTTCCATAGGCTTTGTGACCAGACAGAGTGAAAATTGCACAATTACAATTTTAATTTTATAAGGGAACTTGGCTGCAAATTTTAGGGAAGAAAAAAAAAACATCTCTGCGAAAGGATGTGGCCATAGGTATTCAGTAGTAAATTGAGTTGATTAAGTTTTTTCCTCAGTCTTATCTCCAAAATCCATGTGGTAGAGAATGTGATAAAAATCATGGATTTGTACAATAATGTTTCTCAAGTTTTTTTTTTCCGACCAATAACATGGATTTTTTTAAAGAATCGCTGGCTAGATTTTTAATCTTTTTCTTTAATCCCTGAAAAAAAAATTTCTAAGGATTTATTATAGACCAACTGAACGAAAATCGCAGATTTTAACGATTTTTAAAGCACTTCTGATAAAAAAAATCGAAAAATCGAATTTATTTCCTTCATGTCGAATTTTTTTTTGAAAAGACTTCCTGGCAGCAAATTGGAGATTCAGATGTTACTTCAGAACTTTTTTGGCCCGTTGTTATACCTTCAGACACATGGCTAGAGAGAATATATATCATTTAACACGGCCAAAAGATGCCTCATCATTTAGACCCTAGGTCTCTTTGGACCAAATCCGTTTCAGGATATTTGGAGTCGATCTAGCGATGTCCGTCCGTCCGTCTGTCTGTCAGGCTGGTTTGTGTGCACAATAACTCTCAAAGGGATTATCCGATTTTGTCCAAACTTGGTACATTGTAATATTATTAAAACAAAATTAGATCGAGTTCGGAGATGGGCAATACCGGTCCACCCCTTCTGGTACATCCCCCACAAAAGGTCGACATTTTCAAAAACAAGTGAAATAATATCAGCTGGGTTTGCCGACAGATTTATACCCCAGCCTTGAATTATGATATGAACATTTATGAAAATTGTCACCCTTTGTGGGTGAGGTACCAGAAGAGGTTCGCAGATATATATGTCATCTTCACAACAAATCTTGTGTGAAATTTGACGAGATCTTTGGATGCTTTTTTCGCTTTATTTGAACGTTGTGTTTTTCAAAATCTTGAACCCTATGTGTTGCAGGACCAGAAGAAATTGTTCGATATCTACCAGCTTCATAACAGACCTTTTGCTGATCGAAATATTGAGATGTACCAAGTGTGATTGGAATCGGATATTAATTTCGCGTTTTATGAGCTTTTATGTATATTCAAAATGAGTCTTTGTTGAATAGGTTCCAGAAGGAGTGGACCTATTTATCCCATCTTTACACCCCACCTTGGGTTAATATAAATATTGTGATGGGTTAAATATGAAGAGAACCGGTTGCTTATTTCGGATTTTATAACCGTTTTGGTTATCCAAATCGTTGACCCTTTGTGGGAGAGGAACCAGAAGAAATTGTCGGATCTCTGCCAATTTTATAACAGGTCTTGATATATGCCATCTTTAAACCAAACGCTTGGCAATCGGATCCTTACATTTGTATCCTAATCATTTCATAAGAGTTATAATTGACCCTTTGTGAGGGAGGTACTTGATGCAGAGGACCGATTGCCCATTTTCGCCCCTGACCTAGCACTGATGAAAATATTAGGATAGGCTAAGTTGGAGCGAAATCGGCTTATCCTTTTTCTTTCTGGGTAGTAAAAAAATTTTTTTATTTTGAAAATTTCAACTATTTGTGGGGGAATGGACCGATATTGTCCATCTTCGAACTCGATCTAAGTTTGATAATAATATTACGATGTGACAAGTTTAAAGCAAATCGGATTCTCCCTTCAAGAGTTATCATGTGTACCAATCAGACAGACAAACTAATGGATGGACGGACAGACATCGCTAGATCGACTACAAATATCCTGAAACGGATTTAATCTCAAAGAGACCTACGATTTAAACCCCGTTTTCGATGAGGCACGTTTAGGCCGTATTAAATGATATACTCTCTCTCTCTCTTACGCTGAGGGTATGACTAAAACTCTTCTTAGGTATTTGCAATCGGAAAATATAATGGACTTAGTAAAAATTCTTTTCTACTTCATGAATTCATATCACTGCCTTGGGTATAAGGACTACAAAAGGTGTTCCAAATTAATTTTTGCCTGATGATACCAATGGAACTCATTCCCATTTTTCCCATATCGTTCTAGTTTTTTATATCTAAATAAAAATAAATATAAAAGCATTGGTGTTAATACCAGGCCGTTAATTATGTTATTGCGGAACCAATGTGAGGTCAGGCCATTAAACATGAAAGAAGAATAACAATTTCATTTTGAAATGACCACCACATAAAAAAATGTTTCAAAATTTATTACCCCCTATTTCCCTCTCTCCGACACCACATCTCGACAGGGAATTTCCTTCCCAAGCATAAAACAGAAAATAAAAAATAAATAAAATTGTAAAAGCATCTAAACAATTTTTCTATGAATGTTTTATGAAAATATTTTTTTTTACAAAGTTCAACTATGCCATGCTGCCGCCATCAAGTCAGCGGAACGATCGTCATATGAATTTAAATTATTTCCTCGATTTTCTTGAATTTTTTTTGGGAAAACAAAAAAAAACATTTTTGTTTTATTGTTGTTTTAGTTTGGTTTAAGTTTAACAACATATTTTTTATGGTTGTTTTTTTTTTTGTATTCTTCTTGTTGTGTTGCGGACTATGATGTTTTTGTTATTGTTTATTTGGTGGTTTCTAATGTTATGATAATGTGGTCTTCTGTGTTTTTTTTTTCTTTACAGAGCGGCCATCCAAGCAATCGCATCGTATTTGGATGCCTTCCAAAAAATCGCAGACGCAGCAACAAATTCAAGAGGTAAGTTCAAATTGTGGTAGCCCAACATAAAAAAGCAGCCCCTATCTAAAAACAAGAAACCAAAAACAAAAAACCGGAGACTGAAATGTGAACCAGAAAATCCGCCAACAACTGGGCTAACCAAAAATAATTGGCATTCTTTGGACATAAATCTTTTGAATAATTACATGTATGTGGTGTTCTTAATCTGTCTGGGACTTTTATCTGTTGGGGGTCATGTTCTGAAATGAAATATTAACTGAAAAATATGGGGGTGGAGCGAATTTCAGGTGATTTCTTGGAGGGTTATAAAAAAGTGTATATAAGATTGTTGCAGGGCCATGTTTCTCCTTGATAATCACATTGGAGGCATGCTAATATACCACCCCCAGGCAAAAAAAGAAAATATGGTTTTTAGGGACTTTCACAGTTCGTAAGAAACTAATTAAAAAATATTTACAGAATTGAGTTTTTTTTATTTTCAAAATTTAATTTTATTTTCGAACCCTTTCCTAAAGCAGATCTTAAGATATATCCCTAGATCCCAAAACAATGGAAAAAATCGTTTTTAGGAGAGAAGATTAAGAAATTAAAATATTTCTCCGAGAAAACACAGACCCTAATGCTCGTAAGCCCCCCTCCCACGAACCATGAGACCAATTTCGAACCCCCTCCTATAGCAGATCTTAAGAGATTTTCTTAGGCCCAAGAGCAATAGAAAAAACAATTTTGGAAAAAATGTCGCCAATCTATTTGAGAAATGTAAATGTTTTTCCAGGAAAACCTTCAGATCGCAAAGCTTGAAAGTCCCTCGGAGCATAAGACCAATTTAGAAAAAGTTTATTGATCACTCAACGGCCAACATCCCCTTACGAGTTCAAATTTGCAAAAAAAAAGGGGTACACAGGTCAACTTGTCCATGTTTTCATACCCCGCTGATTAGGGTAACAGGTTCCCAAAAAGGGTCCACGTTTTCATACCTCCCTGAAACTGATCTAAACTCCTAAATAGGACCACCGTATGGATCACCGTCTTCGTACCTATATCGAACTGCTCAACATTTTTATAAGGTCTCCTAGTTCCATGGTTTGTATACCCCCCGGAAACTGGTCATAATTTTCAAACATAATCCCTTTATGGCTCCACGTTGTTATACCTCCCCCGGAACTATTCATAGACCAGTTCCGGGGGAGCTACCTTAACGTGTACCTAGGTGAATCATGAATCCCTTATGGAAATTATTAAAAGTTCCGGAGGATGTACGAAAACGCGGACCCGTAAAGAAATCCCTTCAGAAAATTATGACAAGTTCCCTGGGCATGTACGAAAATTTAAAACAAGGTGCCTTATGGACTTTTTCTAAAAATTTTGATCAGTTCGGGAAGGTATGAAAATGGGGACCCATAAGAGGACATCCTAGGAAGGTACAAAAACGTGGACCTAGATGACCTCTTGGACATAATCTATACAATTAACTACGGCAAAATCTTGCAATTTATTGCAGAAACAATTTGAATTTTCCAAAAATTTTCCCAGGACTAGATGCTTAAACAATCTTGAATTTTAAAGAATATTCCTCAAATTGTCACTTAAAAAATCATGGATCTCATAGAAGACCCGTCAATCTTCCCTCATAGAAGACCAGTTGGTTTTTTCTCATAGAAGACTAGTTGGTCTTTTCTCATAGAAGACCCGTTAGTCTTCTTTCAAAGAAGACTAGATGGTCTTCTTTCATAGAAGACTAGAGGGTCTTCTTTCATAGACAACTATTTGGTCTTCTCTCATAGAAGACCATTTGTTCTTCTCTAATAGAAGGCCCGATGGTCTTTTCTCATAGAAGGCCCGATGGTCTTTTCTCATAGAAGACCCGTTAGTCTTCTCTCAACGAAGACTATAAGGTCTTCTTTCATAGAAGACTAGAGGGTCTTCTTTCATAGACAACTATTTGGTCTTCTCTCATAGAAGACCACTTGGTCTTCTCATAAAAGAGCACTTCTTCTTATTCTTTCCTAGAATGCTCGAATATCTTCTTTCCTAGAAGACTAGAAGGTCTTCTTTCCTCGAAGTCTAGAAGGTCTTCTCACATGGAAGACCATTTGGAATTGTCTTACAGAAGAGCCGTTGGTCTTCTCTCATAGAAGACAATTTGATCATCTCTCATACAAGACCATTTGATCTTCTCTCACACAAGACCATTTGATCTTCTTTCAGAGAAGACTAGAAGGTATTTTTTCATAGAAGCCTGGAGGGCCTTCTTTCATAGAAGACCCGTTGATCTTCTTTCCTAGAAGACTAGTTGGTCTTCTTTCATAGAAGAGAATTTGGTCTTTTGTCATAGAAGAACCGCCGGTCTTCCTTCATAGAAGAACTGTTGGTACTCTCTTATTGAAGACCAGTTGATCTTCTTTTACAGAAGACCAGAATGTCTTCTCCCATAGAAGACATATTGGTCTTCTTTAATAGTTGGTCTTCTCTTCATGAGAAGAGTTAGTCTTCTTTATAAGAGAATTAGTTGACCTTAGACCTTCTTTCATAGAAGACTCGTGTCTTCTTCCTTCTATGTGCCTTCTGTAGATCTCCCATTAATTTTTAGTTCCCAGCAATGAAGATATCCCTTGCATCCTCCCACCACCCTCGTATCCATTTAATCTAATGGTCATTTAAAGAGACCATAAAGACTAGCGATAATATTTGCCTAAACATACATATAAACATACTATGTTTATAAATTGGCCTGTAAAGCGAGCCCCAAACTGCAAGCTGCTGCTACTGCAGCTACTACTGCTACTGTTACTAGACAACTGCTGCTATACGTATTGTTGCTGTTATATTTTCTTTCTTCCTCTTCTTTTTGCATGAGTGTAGTATGTGTGTGTGAGAGAATTTACATAAGTCATTTGCGGTCAGTGATCTGATTTTATATATCTTGTACAACGGAGACTCCGACGACCATGCCTTTTTATTTAAGTTTTTCTTATTGTTGTTGTTGTTGTTACTTTTATTTGCCATTTCCTTAAACAGAGACACGAAATATTTTTTTAGAAATAGTTCTTTACGTGCCTTTTTCTACAAATTTTTATGTTGGGTCGTTTTTCTTTTTTTTTTTTTTTTTGTGTTGTGTATTTTGCTTTTTTCTTATTCTTTGTTTGTCACTTCGTGTGGTGCTGCATGACCATTTCATTTTCCGTACGTGTAATGCGAAGTTTTTTTGCAGGCATTTTGCATTTAAGCTCTTGGGAGTAATTGGAATGCAGATAGCTCCAGAATTCTTAGATTAAAAAATTAAAGAATTTCTTCCACACCGGGTGAATTTTTTAATATTTTTCAATGGGAAATAGGCCCTTATAGACCCAGAGAAATATTTTGATGTAGTAAGTTGTAGTGAATGGCTGACTTGTTTAGAAAGTTATGACAGATAAAAGTATTGAAAATTGTGACCCAGAGGAAATTGCTCGATATCTACCATTTTCATTACAGATGGAAATATTTAGATGTACCAAGTCTGAATGGAATCGGATGTTAATTCAGCGTTTTATGAGGTTGATGGATATTCAAAAATTTGAAGGAGTGGACCTATATATCCCATCTATACAGCATATATTGTGTTATTAGAAGTAATGGGATGTGTAAAATATGAAGAGAACCAGATGCTTTTTTCGGATTTTATAATTGTTTTGATTATTCAAAACGTTGACGCTTTGTGGGGGAGATACCTAAAGAAATGGTCCGATCTTTACCGTCCTTATAACAGATCATGTGTTGATGGAAATATTGAGATGTACCAAGTCTGAATGGAATCGGATGTTAATTTCGCATTTTACGAGCTTCATGGATATTCAAATTTTTTACCCTTTGTGGGGGAGGTGTCAGAAGGAGTTTACCGATGTATTCCATCCTCACTACAGATCTTTTGTTAGTAGAAATATTGGGATGTGTAAAGTATGAAGAGAGCCAGATACTTTTTTCGGATTTCATAATCGTTTTGGTTATTCAAAACTTTAACCCTTAACGAAGAAGGTACCAGAAGAAATGGTCCGATCACTACAATATTTATAATAGATCTTGTGTTGATGGAAATATTAAGAGGTGCCAAGTCAGAATGGGATCGTATGTTAATTTCGCGTTTTATAAGCTTCATGGATAGTCAACATTTTGACCCTTTATAGGGGAGGTACCAGAAGGAGTGGACAGATATATCCCATCTTAACAGCAGATGTTGTGTTAGTAGAAATAATGAGACGTGTAAAATATGAAAATATGATCATATTAGTTTTTCAAAATTTCCACTCTTTGGGGGGGAGGTACCAGAAGGATTAGTCCGATATCTACCTTATTTATAACAGATCAAGTGTTGATGGAAATATTGAGATGTACCAAGTCTGAATGAAATCGGATGTTAATTTCGCATTTTGTGGGGGAGGTGCCAGAAGAAGTTTACCGATGTATTCCATCCTCACTACAGATCTTTTGTTAGTAGAAATATTGGGATGTGTAAAGTATGAAGAGAGCCAGATACTTTTTTCGGATTTCATAATCGTTTTGGTTATTCAAAACTTTAACCCTTAATGAAGAAGGTACCAGAAGAAATGGTCCGATCTCTACCATATGTATACTAGATCTTGTGTTGATGGAAATATTAAGAGGTGCCAAGTCAGAATGGAATCGTATGTTAATTTCGCGTCTTATGAGCTTCGTGAATATTCAAAATTGCCACCCTTTGTGGGGGAGGTACCAGAAGGTGTTTGCCGATATATCCATCTTCACAGTAACTTGTGTGTTAGTAGAAATAATGGGATGTGTGAAATATGAAGAGAACTGGATGCTTATTTCGGATTTATAATCGTTTTGGTCATTCATAACTTTGGTCCTTTGTTGAGGAGGTACCAGAAGAAATGGTCCGATCTCTACCATATTTATATTAGATCTTGTGTTAATGGAAATATTAATAGGTACCAAGTCAGAATGGAATCGTATGCTAATTTCGCGTTTTATAAAGGGTCAACATGTTGACCCTTTATAGA